AGGAGTATGGTTTGAAGAGCTTCTGGGTTGCAACCAAAAAATAGCCGGGCGTTGTGGCGGGCGTACTGGCCAGAGCCTGGCGGAAAACTCAGCACCAGAGCTGTGTATTTGGCCCGGGGGTGGGGGGCGCGGAAGGGGAGCATCCATAATGCTTCAGAGCAGGAAGATCTTCCTGTTCACTCCTTTCATCCAAGAGGTGAAGAAATTGAGATGGGCCAGGTGCAATGGTTCACACCTGTAATCCTAGCACTCTGGGAGGCCGAGGCTGGTGTGTGTGTGGGGGGGGGGAATCCCTGGAGCTCAAGAGTCAGAGACCAGGGCAGCACCTGTGGCTCAGTGGCTAGCGCAGTGGCCCCATATACCGAAGGCATGGGGTGAACAGGCAGAGCTGCAGTAGGTTCAAACCCGGCAACAAAAATAGCTGGGCGTTTTGTGGCGGGCGCCTGTAGTCCCAGCTACTTGGGAGGGTGAGGCAAGAGAATCGCCTAAGCCCAGGAGTTGGAGGTAGCTGTGAGCTATGATGCCACAGCACTCTATCGAGGGCGCTAAAAGTAAGACTCTGTCTAAAAAAAAAAAAAAATTAGAAACACTAGTTGGGCATTATTGCAGGCAGCTGTAGTCCAGCTACTCTGGGAGCTGAGGCAGGAGAATTATTTGAATCTAGGAATTTGAGGTTGCTGTGTGCTAGGCTGAGGCCAGGGCACTGTAGTCAGGGCAACAGAGTGAAACTCTGTCTCAAAAAAAAAAGAGAGAGAGAGAGAGCAAGTGAGCTAGGGCAACTCTGGAGGGGTGTAGAGAGACAGCTCGTGGACACTGCAGGAGCTTAGGGGAATCCACAATGGCCCCTGTCTGGTGTTTGGTGGTAACAGGAAAGAGACCAAGTAGGCATGGGGTGAACAGGCAGAGCTGCAAGAAGGGTTGTTTTGTCTTTTCTTGCAGAGAGCACCTGGGAAAATAAAGAAAAAAAAAAACAAACAAAACAGAGAGCACCTGGGCACATTTGTAGGCAGGAGAAGGGAGAGTAATGATGAGGGAGGAGGGTAAAGTGAAAAAGGGGATGCTGGGGGCAGATAACTTATAGAACAAATCCTAGCAGTGATACAGAGGAGGAAGGATGGGGCAAATGCACTGGTTAGCCTCTGCTGGAAGAGGGACATGTGTCTTTGTGACAGAGGAGAGAAGAGGGGTGGTGAGAGATGTGGACAGGGTGTTGTTTGTCAGATATTGGAAAGGATGTGTCCAGGATGGGGGTGGCTGCACGGTCTTTCTATAAATTCATCTACCAAGAGTTGAAGCCAACTGCTGCAGTGGGGAAGGGGGCTGAGCTGGAGTCACGAGAAGTGTGGGAGAGCTGGGGACAGCAGCTGTGGGGCTGCAGCAGGGGAGTTTGTGTAATGCCTGAGGTAATGCTGTCTGGCAGGCACAACTAAGGCTGGCCAACCCCATCCTATTCATGACTCAGTGGAGGAAATTCAAGGCAACCTCCAGCAATGCTCAGCTGAGGACAGGGCTGTAGGGCTGGTTGGTGGGAGGGAGGTACCTCTAAGAGTAGGGGAGCTGGTCTGGAGTTGGGGAGAACCATCACCCACAAACCAAATCCTCTTCCCTACTGATGCTCTCAAGCTGCTTACTCCTTCACATCCTGACAGAGTACTCCAGCCAAAACAGTACCAGTCATAAGTTTTGTCTTTTTAATAAAAAATAATCTGTCTGTGACAAGCAGTTTTCTGAATCCCCAAATAAAGGGAAAAAGAGAGAGGTCAAGAAGTCAGCCAGGGTAAATGAGTGAATGAGGCTCAGAGTACCCCTGCTGTTCTAGCCGGAGCAGAAAGATTCATAATCTGCCCTGGCTAACGCAAGAAGGAAGGTGGTCAGACTTCAGGAAAGACTTCCTGGGAGTTTGCAATGCATGATTGGTGAGGGGAATAGGAGGGAGCTGATCCCTGAAGAACCTTAGAGACCCCTGGGAGCAGGGAGTGCCCAAAGTGGCAACTTCCAAGTAGAGTGCCCAGTGTGGCATGTTAGCTTATGGTGTTTTAGATGTTCGGTGTCTATTACCATAGGGTCCTGGGACAGTGAGGTTTTTTAGGGTATGGAACAGTATGTTCTTTGAGGGTCCCTGGAATGGCCATAACTAAAGGATTCACCCCAGGCCCTCCTACCACAGAGCAAGCACAATCCTGGGGTAGCCTCCTATTATACAGCTTGGTAGAAGGGAGACCTGCAAGGAGGCAGGCTGCTCTGTGTGTGACCCTGTCAGGTGTCACTGTGGTGCAGAGTGTCAGGAAAGCCCCTCTCACAGGAGGAAGGTGGTCTTTTGTGCCACTCCCACCCTGATAAGGCCTGTACTGCTCTGGGGGCCCTTGGCCAGCATGGCTAGATGACTGCCCTGCTCTGCAGCCCTAGCCTGGTGCTCAGAGTTTAAGCCACCTCAGTACCCGGGTAGTTGTCAGTGTCCACATCACTGGCAGAGGTCCTGTGTTCCTTGGGCAGTTGGAGATGCTGCTCCTGGCTCAACGGGGACTTCTCTCTGGGGGGCAGGGTCCCACAGCCCTGGACCTTGCCTCGAGCCCACAGAGCACCCCGTGGGGAGGCCAAGAGGAGAACAAGGGCCCCGGAAAGCACTAACGCAAGGAGGACAGTGACGGTGAGGAAGTGGGGCCAGTAGGAACGCTGGGCTGCCAGAGCAGCCTCACTACTGACCCTGGTGAGAGGCACCTCCACGTGCTCCCGGGGGATGCCTGCCAGTTCAGGATCCAGGGCCAGGGGCTGGTCCTGGCTGTCCACCCAGTAGGAGACCACAGGGTATGAGAAGCCATTCTCAGTGGCCCAGCACTGGTAGAGACCCCCAACTCCATCTTGCAGAATCAGCAAGAGGGAGCCATTATGGACCGTGGAGGAGGCTTCTGGGGCTGGGGCTGGGGCTATGCCGCGAGTCCAGTGGTAAGAAGCCAGGGCTGAATGGTGGGGACAGGGGAGCTCCAGGATGGAGCTGGGGACAGCCAGAACTTCTTTAACTGTAGGCGAAGGAAAGGGGCAAAAGGGTTAAGACAGGGGAAGAAGACAGGAGAGAGTCTCTAACTTGCCTTTAAACCCCATCCCTTGGCTCCAGCTTCCATTTCAACTCCCAAACTCAACTTTCACCCTTCCCCATTTCCAGTCTTGACCTCCATTTACCTCCAGTCCATCTAACTTCAACTCTGACACCAAAATCACCCGCAGCCTCAAACCTGAATACCAGCTTGGCCCCCAGCTCAGAATTCCTCTCGCTCCTCCCCACAACCAGGACTCAAACCCATCCCAATTCTAGAGTTCATATCTCAAGCCAGGCAGGTGCTGGGTGAGGAAACCAAAGCAGGGACACCCACCCTGGCCCAGAAGTCTTGCAGAACCTGTGTGCCTCCCCCCATCCAAAACTCACTTATTCGTGGGCGGCTCTGAGGCCGGAGGCTTCTGCCCATGGGGCCATTGGTACATGCCCACCCCGGGTTCCCTTGCTCCATGTCCTGCTTCCAGGAGTTCCTAAGAGGGCAGGGAAAGCAAATATCATCCCTTGAATCAGCCTAAAGTGGGAAGAAGAAGGAGAAAGGGAGGAAAGTGCAGTGAGGAAGAAGATAGCAGAGTAGACCAGGAAGAAGAGAGGAGAGGAAAGAGGAATCCAGGACAGCTGGAGGAGCTTTAAACCCCCTAGCAAAACCCCACTCCAGAGGGCCCAGCAGAGGACAGGTGGACTCTATCAGTAGCCCCCAGAGAGAGCTGGGTAACAAGGGTCCTTCCTGGCTGTGCATCTTCAGCCATCATCCAGGGACTGGCACTCACAGGTTGTGGGAAGATAGGAGGCCACAGATCTGGTTCTTAGGATCCCAGGCACAGTGGGGGTCCCGGGCAAGGATGCAGTCCACACAGCTCTCATAGACACTACAGTTGGCTCGGGGCACCCTCAAGACACCTCCTGAGAAGCCTACGAACACTGCACCCTGGAAGAGAATTGGAGCATGCCAGGAAGCCCCGGCCATACTTAGGAGAGTCCTGGCCTAGGGAGCCAGCCCAACCTGCCCTCAAGCTGGCCCCACCAGAAGCCCATTTGATGACTCCCTTCCCACCTGGGCGGGGGCCAACAGCAGATTGCGGACAGGCTCAGGGTCAGGAAACAGCTGGATCTCTTCCACCAGATGGGCACTGCTGTCCCCACTCACCACAGCCTTGTGGAGGGACCCTGTGGCTATAGCAGATGGAGAGAGCTGAAGTCATCTCACCTCATCCAAAGGTGGCCTCCCCAGCTGTCAATGGCCTCTGAAGTGCCATATACAGTGGGCACAGAGCAGCCAGAGCATTCACAGCCTTTGTTCCATCAAGATGGGGCTCTCTTGCTGATGGCTCAACTCCTGCCCTCCCTCTGCATCCCTGGAGAAACCCAGCTGTCCACTTTCCCCACATGGGGCAATGGGTAGAGGAGTGCTTCTGTAGAAAGGTGCATCCCCAGCCTCCCTTACTTCCGTCAAGGTCTCTACACTAAGACATTTCAGTAAGCCTTTTAAACGTCATGACCTCGCCAATGGCTTCCTGACTCCTGACACACTGCCCCCCACCTGCCTCCCAAATCTCACAACCTGCTGTCATTTGCTTATGCAGTGTGTATACTGTCTTCACCCATTCCACAAGGACTGCTACTTTTGTGTATTCTTCTCTACTGTAGGTACACCCAATATACGCATGGCTGATACAGTGCCTAGTGATATGCCTGAAGGAGTGTGTGAACTTGGTCACTAGAGATAGGGGGAGGGAAGAAAGAATAAATGAACTTGGTGGGTTTCTTCCACTAAAGCTCGAGGTCATCCACCTCAGCCAGACTCTCAATATGCTTGGCACTTACCGCGTTCCCTGCTCTCTCTTCTTCTTTCCAAAATGACTATTTGAATCTCTCTCTCTCTCTCCTCATACCTCCCACCTTTCCTGCCCTTTCACTCCCAGCTCATGACCTCCTGTGCTCCCACTTCATAGAGAATGAAAGAGCCTTCAGGGAAGAGCCCCCTTAGCTTCCTGCCACAAGTCCACACACTCACCAGACCTCACTCCCAGCCCATCTAAGGTTCTCTGCCACCCTGGCTAATTGTTCCTCCTGTGTCTTTGGACTCCAGCATCCTGCTCCCTCAACCTGTGAATTATCCCCATTCCTGCCCATCTCTTCACCATCTCCCTGTCTGCTGGGTCCTCACAATCTTTCCCATCTATGAAACAAGAACCCTAGCTGGGCCCATGTCACTCCGGTCCCCTCTCCCCCTTCATAGCCAAACTTCCTGAAGGAGTGATCTCTGTCCTCACTGTTTCTGGCTGCTCCTCTACCCACTCACCCTTCACCCCTCTCTAACAGGGCTCCCCCATAACATCCACAGATCTTGTTAAGATCACCAAAGATCTCCCGTCTGCCTCCCCCACTGGACAAAACTCAGAAAGGGGAGAGACCTGCTCCCCTGCTGTATTTTCAGAGCCTAGCAGAGTGCCAGCACCAGCAGGTGCTCAATAAACATTTGTTGAATGAGTGAGTGAATTCTAAGATTTCCCTCTTCAACCTGAGCACAGCCCCTGCCATGCCCTCTGAAGACATCCTGGAGCCCTTTACTCACTGGTGCCCAGGTACATGACCAGATAGCTGTGCCCATCGAGGCCCTGGGCTGTCTCCACTGCAAGTTGTGTGTACTCCACGCCAGACTTCACGAGCAGGGGCATCCCCATCACCTGCTCATCCATCAGAAAATGGTCCTTCATGAAGGTCAAAGCTTTATCTGAGGAGGGGCCCACCGAGCACTGGAAGAGGAAGGGGGCAGATCAGAGTGGCTGTTCCCTTGCCCTGCTCTCTCTCCCTCTTTTGCTGTCCTCCATTGCTCCCCTTCTTGTGGCAGTGCTCCTTTCAGGGTAGTGGCAAAAGCTCAGACTCTGGAGCTGACTGGCTTTGAATTCAAGCCTCTGCATGCCTGGGGGTCCTCCCCTGTGAAGTGGGCATGTTACCAATACCTACCTCATAGGCTAATACATGAAAAATAACTAGGACAGTGCTTGGCATCACAGTACTTGGCATAAGTGCTCAATAAACATTATTATTGCGGCCCTCCTCCTGAGCTCCTTCATCAAGGACACCTAGCAGCCAGCAGGAAGCAGGGAGAAGGCTCCTGGCAGGCAAGGATCTACTTTTACTCGTGTCTGTAGTCCTAGAAGTGGTCTCTACACTTTCTGTTTTTAGCTCACCCATTAGCCACTTACTCTTTACCCCTCTAACAAGGCTCCCCTATAATATAAGCAGTTCTTGCTAAGGCCACCAAAGACTTCCCTATCTGCCTTCTCCACCAGACAAAGCTCAAAAAGGGGAGGGACTAGTCTGTTTTGCTTCCCTGCTGTATTTTCAGAGCCTAGCAGAAGTGTTGGGCATGTAGTAGGTGCTTAATAAATGCATAGCACTGAAGGGCACAGTGGCTCAGCACTGTGGGAGGCTGAGGAGGGAGAATTGTTTGAGCTCAGGAGTTTGAGACTCGCCTGAGCGAGAGTGAGACCCCCGACTCATGAAAAACATGGAAAAACCCAGGCAGGCACCACAGCAGCGCCTATAATCCCAGTGGCTTCTGGAGGCTGAGGCGGTGGGATGCCCACAAGCTGGAGTCTGAGGTTGCAGGGAGTTACCAAGCCACTGCACTCTGCTCAGGGGCATAGGGTGGGACTCTGTCTCAACAACAACAACAACAAAAAATAAATAAAAAATAAATGCATAGCATAGGATCTGACACACACACAGTTGGTACTCAATAAATGTTTGCTTAATCAATGATTGGATGAATGTCACAGAGAGGACGATGCCACCATGAGTATTTCCTATCATGGCCTGTGTGAGATCATTGTAACTCTAGGAGTGCCCTTTCTCCAAATAAACCTGTGATTTCCCACCAAAAAATGTGAGAGTGGGACTATAGGCACCTGCCACAACACCTGGCTATTTTTTGCTGTAATTTGGCCGTGGCTGGGTTTGAACCCACCACTCTCAGTATATGGGGCCAGCATCCTACTCACTGAGCCACAGGCACTGCCCTTACTTTTCTCTTTTTACCAGAGATGGGGTTTTGTTAGGCTTGAACTTCTGAGGTCAAGGGATCTTCCCTCCTCCACCTCCCAGAGTGCTAAGATTACAGGAGCCAGCCACCTCAACTGGCCCCAAAGGAACTTTTTAAAGACATAAAATAGGGGGCGGCGCCTGTGGCTCAGTGAGTAGGGCACTGGCCCCATATACCGAGGGTGACGAGTTCAAACCTGGCCCCGGCCAAACTGCAATAAAAAATAGCTGGGCATTGCGGCAGGCACCTGTAGTCCCAGCTACTCAGGCGGCTGAGGCAAGAGAATTGCCTAAGCCCAAGAACTGGAGGTTACTGTGCACGGCACTCTACCAAGGGGACAAAGTGAGACTATATCGCTTTAAAAAAAAAAAAAAAAAGACATAAACCAGGATGGGAATGAGAGACAAGTACAAAAGCATCCACATTTTGGAAAAGCAAATGAACAGTAAATGACTAGAGAGAGAGAAGAGTCTTCTTGAGCCAGGCCTGAAGGAAGCCTCAAACCATCTTATTTATAAGGCAGATTCCTAAAGTTCATGAATTAGTGGCCCCAGTTACCTTTGGAAGTGAGGCTAAATATGGAGAATTATTTAAAAATCTGTTTAAGGGCCCGGTGCGGTGGCTCATACCTGTAATCCTAGCACTCTGGGAGGCCGAGATGGTGGATTGCCTGAGCAAGAGTGAGACCCTATCTCTAAAAAATAGCTGGGCAGGGCAGCACCTGTGGCTCAGTGAGTAGGGCGCTGGCCCCATATACTGAGGGTGGAGGTTTCAAACCTAGCCCCGGCCAAACTGCAAGAAAAAAATAGCCAGGTCTTGTGGCAGGTCCCTGTAGTCCCAGCTGCTGGGGAGGTTGAGGTAAGAGAATCGCTTTAGCCCAAGAGATGAGGTTGCTGTGAGCTGTGACGCACACAGCACTCTACCAAGGACGACAGAGTGAGACTCTGTTTCTAAAATAAATAAATAAATAGCTGAGCATTGCGGTAGGCGCCTGTAGTCCCAGCTACTTGGGAGGCTGAGGCAAGTAAATCACTGAGCCCAGGAGTTTGAGGTTGTTATGAGCTATGATGCCACCCCACTCTACCAAGGGCAACAAAGTGAGACTCAAAAAAAAAAAATCTGTTTAAGAAGCAGGCAGATTTCTTCCAAGCTCTTCATATCTAGTGACTGCCCCTTCCATGTCCTGGTCCAAGGTTTATCCTCTGGAGAGGGTACAACAAGATTTCTGAATGGAGAACAGCAGGCAGAATGGGGGGCCATCCTGAGCACAGGGATTTAAGTACCAGACATAAGGAGCCAGACCATTACGCTCCAGGTGAAAGATGAGAAGCCCCTGCTTTGGGCAAGCTGACTAGAGGTCCGTAGGGAAACCCCTAAAGACACTGACATTGATGATTCCCAGCCAGGCTGTCCTCAGTGGTGACATAATGGAACCCAGATTGCTGAACCTTCCTCATGGGCACAGAGCTTCCAAACAGCACAAGCATCCCTCATTCCTAAATATGAGCAGGTGGCCAAGGACTAGCAAGTATGTAGGTAGAACCACTAATATGAAAGAAAGAAACCAGAACAAACAAATAGAAAAAGCAAACAGAAACCTAAGAGGAGGTTGGGCACAGTGGCTCATGCCTATAATCCCAGCACTCTGGAAGGTGGGAAGATTCTTTGAGTGCAGGATTTCAAGATAGCCTGAGCAAGAGCAAGACCCTGTCTCTACAAAAATTAGGAAAAAACTCCAGCCGAATAGCTGGACATTGTGGCAGGTGCCTGTAGTCCCAGCTACTCCGGAGGCTGAGGCAAGAGGATTGGTTGAGCCCAGGAGTTTGAGGTTGCTGCGAGCAATGACACCACAGCACTCTACTAAAGGTGACAAGTGAGATCTGTCTCAAAAGAATAAAATAAAATAAAACAATGCATTTTCTATCTGTCAAAAAAAAAAACCAAAAAACCAAACCTATCCTGCCTATGGTCCCATCTACTCTGGAAGCTAAGGCAGGAAGATCACTTGAGCCCAAAGAGCTTGAAGTTGCTGTGAGCTATGATAATGCCATAGCACTTTAGTCTAGATGACAGAGTGAGATCCTGTCTCAAAAAACAAATGAAAGGCCAGGTGCAGTGGCTCATGCCTATAATCCTAGTACTCTGGGAATCTGAGATGGGTGGATTGCCTGAGTTCACGGGTTCAAGACCAGCCTGAGCAAGAGCAAGACCCCCATCTCTAAAGAAATAGCCAGGCATTGTGGCGGGTGCCTATAGTCCAAGCCACTTGGGAGGCTGAGACAAGAGAATCGTTTGAGCCCAAGAGTTTGAGGTTGCTGCAAGCTGTGATGCTCAAGGAGTAGAGTGCCAGCCCCATATACCGGAGGTGGTGGGTTCAAACCCAGCCCCAGCCAAATAAATAAATAAATAGGCTTGGTGCCTGTAGCACAGTGGTTGCGGCACCAGCCACATACACTGAAGGTGGCTGGTTCGAACCCAGCCCAGGCCAGCTAACCAACAATGACAACTGCAACAAAAAATAGCTGGGCATTGTAGGGGGCGCCTGTAGTCCCAGCTACTTGGGAGGCTGAGGCAAGAGAATCGCTTGAACCCAAAAGTTTGAGGTTGTTGTGAGCTGTGATGCCACTGCACCCTACTGAGGGTGACACAGTGAGACTCTGTCTCAAAAAATAAATAAATAAATAAAATTAAAATAATGAAAAATTTCTCAAAAAAATTTGAACACTGAATGCATATTAGATTGAGGAAGTATTATTAATTTTTAAAGGTGTGATAACGGCACCATGGTTATGTTTGTTTGTTTTGTTTTTTAATTCAGTCTCTGTAGAGACTGTCAAAAATTGCCAATGCTGACTATATTTCAAGTCATCATGGTGGGGTATTGGGAAAAGTTTTCAATTAGTAATAATTGCGCCTTGGATAAACCTCATTGGCTATGATACTGCCACTCTGCAAAGCCAAAGCTTCATGGCTATGTTTTTT